CTTCTGCGTGTAACAATTCCCACTGGGGTGCTTCCTTCCTATGTGCTACAAGATGAAGAAGGGGACAGTAGGTGAGTGACATTTTCTCTTTCTAGGTCCAGGCAGGTGCCTTCATTTTTACTGTGTGACTATGGACAAATGTTAAGATTTCTCCAACTGCCTCCAATTTCTCTTTATTTCACAAAAAAAAAAAAAAAAAAAAAAAAAAAAAAAAAAAAAAAAGCCTGGTGGGCTGGAGAGATGCCTCAGAGGTTAAGAGCACAGACTACTCTTCCAGAGGTCCCCAGTTCAATTCCCAGCAACCACATGGTGGCTCACAACCACCTATAATGAGATCCGGTGCCCTCTTCTGGTATCCAAACATGCATAGAGGCTGAATACTGTATACAATATTCAGTATAAATCTTAAAAAATAAACAAAACAAAACAACAAAAAGTTTGGTTTTAACTTAATGCCAACCCAGAGGCAGACACCTAGAGGCTAGGACATGTAATGACATTGGTTCATGTACACTTTCAGGGTAGAATTAGGGAAACGGCTCAAACGTGCCAGGGTAAGCTTCAAATTCTATCGGAAATAAACATGTTTGAAAACCACGGAGGATGTCTGACCACTCCCCAACTCTCAGAGGACAGGGCTGAAGCTGGGGTGGCAGGTCAGGCTCCCCGACCCTGGGGTTCTCTGCCTTCTTGCAGGCCTTGCATCTCAGTCCTTGCTCTGCATCTGGGAGGTCCTCTGGGAGGAGTCACAGGACCCAGGAGCCTTGAGCCTTTCAAATGCCAGCATCAAACAGAAGCCAGAAACAATTTTTTTTTTCAACATAAATCCAAGCCCTGCACAATTAACTCCTGCAGCCTGTACAGCACTTGCAATTACCTCTCCCACACAGCTCCTGGCCCCAGGGCAGGGGAGGCTGAAGGTTCTACTTAGTGATAAACACGCTTCTTCATTTAGTTAGCAAGCCTCTGAGATAAAGATTGTGCCAGAGCCAAAGTGGGGATGGGGTGGGTAGGGTGGGTGTGAGGGGGTTGTGTGTGCGTGCATCTCTGTCTCCAGGAGAAGTTCTGTGCCTTTAGCCAGAGGAGTTCTCCGCCTTTTTAAAGAACCCTGCTTCTCCTTTTAAATTAGGTTGTGGATACCATGTAATCAGAGGCACTACACTGAAACCATATCTCTGTACAATTTTGGCTTTGGGTTTGCTGTACTACCGTCAATATTAATGAACTTGTTTTTAGAGTTGGTTTTTAGTTAATAAATGCAAGTGATCAATTTTCCTGATGTTTCAAAACTTCCAGTTCTTTGCTTACTCTCTTCTGCTTCTTCACTAAAGTCAGGAAGAAAGAAAAGTTGAGGCCTTGATAATGACCTCTGGCCCCTTACAAGCTGCTGAGGTGTTATAGGTTCCAAATCAAACCCACAACGAAGCCCTACAAGGTCCTGGCATCATCATCACCATGCTCTGGAATCTAGGAACTCCGTAGCCAACATACAGCCCAAATGTCAGCCATCCAGGGCACTGCCCCTTTCCTACTCAGATTTACCTATCTATTTTACATACTCGTTAATATAACTAACGCGCTGTATGGAACTCACGGCTCGTATCATACTATTTCATAGTTACTCTTCTTATGCCTACAGCCCCTCAAGCTGGAAACTCCTCTGGGAAAGGAAAGGATCCCATTTAGCAAGTAGCCCCTCCCCAAGGTAGCGCTTACCCTGCAGGAGTCATCCTCACTGGGGGTTTGCGGTGAATAAACCACTAGTCTGGCCTTCCAGCAGACATAGCTCATCTCCCAAGGCCCTGGGCTCTCAGCTTTTCCACAAAACTGGGAAGGATGTATTTGGCTGTTCAAAAGCGCTCACAGGAATGGCTCTTACCGATCCTATTTCCAGCAGACCAAAGTGTGCTCTGCTCCTGACAGCAGGTCAGCCATAACCCAGAGTGAATGTGCATGTGGAATTTTCAAATGTACCGCCTTTTGGTCAGTTCATACCATCATCATCCTCAATTTCTACATGGGGCTTCAAGATGCTCACATGGGATAGCCACCCCCAAACGTAGAACCATTAAATATAACTCATGCATTCTGAGGGGTGAGAACACAAGTATCTGGAGAGCTTTTTAGCGTTTGAGCTGCATTGCATGTTCAGGGGTGTGAGCTCAAAAGATCTTTCTCATTTACTAGGAGTTTCTTTAACGACATAACATTAGTGACAGCATGGACCGATAAAATGGAAGGGAGGACAGAAACAACGCATCAATCTACAGACAACTGATTCCATAAGTATATACTGAAGAAACCACAACTACTTGGAGAGGTGGGAGGGGACACTGAGTGCCCACCTTGAGGAGGCTGAAACTAGACCATCGTGTCTTACTCTACATGGATCGAAAACCTTAATGTAAGAGCTGAAACTCTAAAACTACTAAGGGATATTGGTGCAAGCATTGATTTCGGGAACTGGACTCCAATAGGAAGAAAAGAACTCCATAAGGTATTTCATTGGATCAAACAGGCTTTGGCTAAGGAGCTTTTCAACAACAATCCTGACAGGAGCTAACATCCACAATATATTAAAGACAAAGAAAATCTTTGGGAGCAGTTGCCTAAGAGTATACACACACCTAGAGAATGTGAGTTCGGCTCCCAGCAGCACCCACGTTGGGCTCATAGCTGCCCTTAACTGGTTCAAGGGGGTTCAGAGCCCTCTGCTGGTGTCCACGGGCACTGCACTCATGTGCACAACCCTGCTCACAGTTAAACTATCACTTTCATTTTATGGGTCAGGATTTCTCTGTGTATCTTTGTAGACCAGGCTGGCCTCAAATGCAGAGGTCCAACTGCCTCTGCATACAGAGTACTGGACTAAAGGCATCTGCCGCCATCACCCAGCACAGTTACAAATTTTAAGTGACTTGAAGCAAACAAAAACTTCAAAAAATAAACACGTAATGCAATCGATATATGAATAAATTATCCAAACAGATACTTTTGAGAAAATGTTCAGCATCTGTAGCTATCAGAGAAATGCAAATTATAACTACACTGGCAAATACGCACTAGTCATAATACATCCATGTAGGAAAGGAACTCTTGCATGTAAGTCAGTATAACTACATGGGAATCAATGTATGGTGGTTTCCCAAAAACACTAAAAGTAGACCAACAGTATAATCAGGCTCCTGGGTATACACCCAAAGTCAAGTCAGCATACAACAGAGATGCCCACACACCCATGATTCCAGAGGGGCTGTTCACAACAGCCCAGAGGTTCGGCAACAAATTAATTAGATAAAGAAAACGTGGTAGACATACAGACACTGTGGAGTACTATTTAGCTATAAAGAGGAATGAAACCCAGCCAGCTGAAAATAGAGTAAGTCATTAGGAAAATGGAATAAGCCAGGGGTGATTGAGCTAGAGGAAATAATCTAGACCTACATACAACAATGTGTTTTCTCTCAAGGTAGAAGCCAGAAGTCTTAAACAGCATGAAAGCAGAGAGTGAAAACTATCTGGGGAGGAGAGGAGCTATGGGAGGGAGCGGCGTGGGGGAAGGCAGCAAATCAGAACAAAGCGTACTGACACATGCCGATGGAAATGTCCCAACAGTGATGGGGGGGGGGGACGTCAGTCAAAAAGAAACATTAAAATTCCATGTGGAAACCTGATACTTTGTAAGCTAATTTAACGATAAAAATAGAACAATTTAAAAAGGCAATTCTATAACAAGATTATTTTGTGTACTAACCCAAAGATCTAACTTTAAAAAAAAAAAAAAAAAAAAAAAAAAAAAAAAGGAAAAAGATCCTGAAAATTCGAAGGGACTGCTAGGAAACAAGAAAGGTGAGGAGACCCGGGAAGGGGGGTTGAGATGGGAGGGAGGGCTGTGTGTTGGGGAGGGTGGATATGACCAAGCAAGGTCAGTGTGTGTGTGTGTGTGTGTGTGTGTGTGTGTGTGTGTGAAACCTACTAAAGTGTAGTTAATTGTTTTGAGTTTAAGAGACCCGGGAAGTGTCCCTGAGTCCACTAGAGGGGACCTGGAGGAGGAGTCCCTGTCCCCTCCCAGCTCGGGCACTGGGCTTCGTTAGTTTTTAAGTGTACTTGGTACCATCCTCTCAGAACTGAGAGATGGCTGTGGGGATATCGCTTCAAGATTCTGCAGTTTGGAAGTGAGGAGAAACTTGCAGCAAATGACCCGAGGCACAGGCACAAGAATGGGGACAGGTCTGTGGCCTTCAGGCAACAAGAGCTGGCAAAGTGGTATGCAGACCCAAAGGGCGTCCAACAGGACCGGGGACTGACTATGCAGGTTCTAGAGAAAGAACACCGAAGAAACAAAGGCAACCCCTTGGTGGAGAGCAGCTACACCCTGTCCGTTCAAACTCAGGACCCAGCCTTCATTTGCGAAGCCAGCTTCCTGGGTCATGTGACTAGAAATTAAAGACAACATAAAACTAAGCGAATTCAGTTTTACTCACAAATCCTAGGGCGATGGATGGCTAACAGCGGTTACCAATATAGAAAAACAGGCAACAGAAGAAATAATCAGTCACTTAAGTGCACAAATCTTTCTCGCTGCAAATAGATTGCCCACACATCGTTTCGACTGAGTCTTTACCGTGTAACAGGACTGAGGGGGCTACAGTGGCATCCCTCCAACACATCCCTGTCGGATGAGGAGGGTGACACGCTGCCTCTTCTTTTTTTTTTTAAGGGCAGATTTTTCCACCGGTTGGGGGTGGGGGTGGGGGCGAGAGAATAGAGCTGTAAGCAGGACAAAAGGCGTGGCAGCATGAAAGCACAATGTTTTGCAAACGCTCACGCACACTGGGCTAAAAACCAGGGGAGCTTCAACAGCGCTAGACTGATTGTGGTGGCCTTCTCCTCTCTCGGGAATAATGCTGAGTGGAGCTGGTGAGAGCGGGAAGATCCACAAGCAAAAGCCTCTTGTTAGAGCCAGATCAGCAATAGGACCAGAGAGTTGATGATCTTACCATGTTTCAGATGTAGGCAGCTGTCATTCTGGGACCTGTACCTGCAGAAAATTGTGTCTTTAACAAATTTTTATGGAGAGGTTTCTGTACATTCCAAACACGTAGTAGTAGCTACAATAGCATGTGGACCGGTTCGCTTTGCTTCTTACGGTCCTCATGGCAGCCCTTTCTGTTTGTGCAGTGCATGTGGTGGCCTTCCGATAGGAAGAAAGATGGACCAGCGTGGGACCTCACTGACTCCCGCAGCCAGTGCAAGCCCCGCCGCTTGTGGTGTTCAGTATTAAGAACCCAAAGAAAGACTCTCGAGGGAATACAAGGCAGCATGTTGTACTGTCATCATAAAAGTCACATCTTTAGGGACTATGCAAACAGCGCAGAGGCAGAAGCCAAGAGGATGCAGACAACAGAAGAAAAAAAAAAAAAAAAAATCAACCACAGCTCCTAACTATGACTCTAGGGCAAGGGGACGGGAAAGGGGCTTTTTACAGGAACCTTCACATTTAAAAGAAAAGTCTTTTTGAAATGTTCAGGAGTTTCAGGAAAGAGAGCTGAGTGAAGGGATCACACGTGACAGTCACTGGACGAGGCAGCGTCTAGGAAGATGCGGACTATTTACGAGGAGTCTCGCAGAAGCAGGAGTGCCCACAGCAAGCTACGAGGTACCTACCTGAAGTGGATTCCTGTAGTTTCTCTCTCTTCCTCTTCTTCTTCTTGCCCTGGAAGGACAGAGGCACAGTGTTAAGACAGGGAGTGGAGGGGAGGCATGCAGGTGTGCACTGCATGCAGGAAAAGCACGGCCAGAAGGTGGCCGGCCAGTGAGCCACCCAGAGTGACTGGCTTTCAGCTGTGTCTGCGCGTGCGTGCGTGTGAGGAGTCCTGTGTTCCTGCTTCCTTCCGGGGCTACCCCTCCTCCTGACTGCCCTGGTGGTGTCTCAGGTGGTGCCCGCGTTGATTCTGTGAAGGATGTGAAATGAACTACACGATGTTTTATGTCCACAGTGTCAGAAGAGTGCCCAGATCCCTGTGGCAGAAGCATGCCATAGCCTGGGATAGAGGGAGAGGAGGAAGTGGGACCTGGCAGGCTGAGACCTTCACTTCCGCCGATACAGGAGCAAGTTTAGATAGGTTCCAAACACACCTCCACGACAAACACACCTCAGTGACAATCTGGTCATGCTTTAAGCAGCTTAGCATGTTCATCTCTCTTCAAAACTACCCCCACTTAAAGAGGCTACAGTCACAGCCCGTTTCCACGAGCTGCAAGTGGCTAACCTGTGACAGGTATTTCCAGCTGAATAAACAAAGGAACGCCCACCGTGTACTTCCGTACCTCAGAGTTTTACAAAGTTGACTGACACTCTTCCTAAACACTAAGGCGAGCAGCCCGGATTGTAAAGAACATCATCTTTAATCTGACCAGAGGTGTTCCAGGGGGAGGAAGGGAGCATGCTCCCTTCACTCAAACAGTTTCTGCAGTTTGGGATGTTCCCCTGAGGCTGTTTCCGGTTAAACCCTCTGCGCTTTCCTCTCCTGCTCGCACCTGCATGAGTCTCAAGTGTCATCTCTTTCAAGAACTTTCTCTGTCCCATGCCTCATCCCTCTTCCTTAGACAGACTGGGGCTCTTCTGCTGAGCAGATGACCCTGAGCTCAGGGTCACAGCCCATCTATTTGCCAGCAGCATAGGCTCTGAGCCTCTCTCCATCCTCCTCCACCTTACAGCCAGCCAGTGTGGATAGCTCTGAGAGTCACTACTGGTACCGCTTGTGTGGTAGTTTAGGGATAAATCAGTGAGGTGAGAGAAACTCTCAGACTTTATGGAGGGTAAAGAGGGGCCCGTTTGAACATGTGGATTAATTCATGCACAATTAAACAATGTTTTGTCAAAATTACAAAGTATGCATCCTAGGAGGCAGGATAATCTCACTCAAGAAAAATTCTATGCACGGCTGACTCACAGAAACTTCCTTTATTAGCCCAAATTATGGATGTAAACTTCAATTCTAAAAAGTCAATGATGTCACTGAGTGGGCCATTTTAACCATCAACCCAGATGTGGGTTTAGTGATCTCAGAGGCCCAGGAATCATCCTCACTCTACATCCTGCTCCTGATGCTAAACTCCAGCTGGGAATATTGTTTGCAAGGGTGCTCTCACACGACTCGGCATTGCCTTAGCCATCGATGGGATGGTTAAAAAAATAGTATCAACGAAGCTGGGTTTTCCCTTCATTCAGGCAAGGCACAGGAAGACAATGTTCTTTAACAGTCAGTCATGGAGAGTAAAATCTTTAAAGATGAACTCATAGTCCACCAGCTTCCTTCAAAACTACCCTCCTTTCGTGCGAAGGCGGGCAAAGGAATAGGTAAGTCAGAGAAGAGGGACACATGCTAATGTCCGTTACATCTTTCTAAATGCTAAAACCTATCACTTGAAAACTAGAACTAAAATTGTCAAGACATTCAGCAAGCAATGCAGGTATGTGCAAACTTCCAGCTCGGCCAAGCTCTTGTATGGGGTCAAGGGGTAAAGGTCAGTGGCCCCCTCCCAGGCAAGTCACAGCCAAAGGGCAAGCAAGACAGGGCGAGAAGGGGACACACAGTGTCCCCCTTACAGGGCACAGCAAAGGCTCTGTAGGCACAGATGCCAATCACTACTCAGGAGGGAAGCTATGGCGATCCTCAGGGCCAGCTGATGTGGGTTTAAATTGCAGTTCAAAGCTGCCAACCCCACCGCTGTGGACAAATGACCTAACCTCGCCGACCTCACCAGCCCTGAGAGGTGGACCGATGATGCTGATGCCACTGGACAATTGTAAGGACGGAAAGTAACAGAGGAACATAAGGCATCGCCTACAATGTGTGCGGTGGTTGCTAAACCAACAAAAACGACAACGTGGGGCATGGCTGTGCCATTGCTCCTAAGAAAGTGCCCATAGGACTCTCATTTCCTGTGTCAAGGTCATATCTGGCAAACATGCTCCAAATTCTGAGCAGTAAAATGGCATTGTCCGTGGAGCATACTGTAGAATTCCTAGATAGATACACATGCGTTCAAACGCTGCAGTATCTAATAGGGGACATGTGACCTCAGGCACACACTGCTGTCATTGTCTCCATGGCAACTGGAGCTTCTACAGCAAAGGCCATCGATAAACTGTACAGGGATTCACATGTGTGCGTGAAGGGACAATTGCTCTGTGTGAAGGCTGTCCCAAATGGTATTCCTACTGCTGGTCTCCCGCTACAGACTAATGTGTCCCTTAAAATTCCCACTCCTCCTGACACCCCAGAACGTGATGGGATAAGTAGAACCTTTGGGGGGTGCTGACTGGGGCACAGACACTATGAACAGGACTCGTCCTTGGGGAAAGGGCAGCCTGTGAGAACACAGCCAAGTGCTCGGGGTTGGCCCTTGGTCTCCAATATCTAAGCCTCCGGAACAGTGAGTAAAAAACTTTTGCTTTTAAGCCACCTAGGCTGTGGTATTCTACTGCAGCTGTCTGAGCTGAACTAAAAATGATCTTCAAAACATTCTATTGTGACTTTATTTAAAATGACAAAATTTCAGATCTATCGTTCATAATACACTTTCTATGTGACAGTCTGTACTATAGCCAGACAAGGCCAATAAGATGCTCAGGCTGCACAGCGGCAAGGCAGCTGTCAGTACAGGGGAGGTGGTCCTCGACAATAAAATTATAGATTCTGATACAATAGATACAAAAAATAGATATTGATACAATAAAAAAGCCTAGAACATGATAATCCCTACTTCATCTTTATTCAAAGTACATACAAGATGCCAGGGTACATTAATGTGAGGTTTATACTCATCACCTGGAAAGAAATATGACAACATGTGTCAAGAACTTCAAAATGTTTATAACTTCTTTCTTAAGACCCTGATACTGTGAATCTAGCCTGTGGAAATAATGGTCCTGTGTACAGGAGAAAAAACAAAACAAGACATCCTACTATGCACAGACATATCCACAGCAGTGTGGATCCTATGACTATGAAAGGGTAAAAAGAAAAGAAACAGAAAAATATAAAATCACATAAAATCAGGAAAACCCAGGAAATTGAGACACTCACTTAACAGGATATGGACATAAAAGTGATTTCATAAAAGAAAAGTGAATTTTTTATATAAGAACAGGAAACATGCCATAAAATACATGTACATATATAATAGTATTTTTACCTATATTTGAAACTAAAGACACACAGAAAACCTACTAGGAGGGAATATAGCTATCACTAATCTTGCCTTTACGTGGTGAAATTATAGGGATTTTTTTGTTTGTTTGTTTTACATCTTTTTCTGGTATTCTAATGATAAAGGGTTCTCTGTTTTGATTCTCGAAGGAGCTTTGTTTTACAGATAAATTAGTACTCACAGCAACAAAATAAATGCTTAAAGTTTTTAGACCCCAACGTACTTATGAAATCTTCATTACACAGTTCGTTAATTTTCCAAAACACGAAACAGTGCCAACACCACGCATCCTCCAGACATCCCCTTGAGAGTGAGGGCAAGGCAGGGGTGGGGGTGGGTGGGGGTGGGTGGGGGTGAGTGGGGGTGGGTGGGGGTGGAAAGCCACAGGGATCAAGAAAAGGCTTACATAATTGTCTCTTGCTGACCAGCCTGGATAAAGCTGCATATGTAGCTGCCTTTCTTTCCGTGCTAATTCATAGTATTTGGCCTGTTCTTCCCGGGAGAGGGCGTGCCACTGAAACCAAAAAGGAAAAGGGGGAGAGAGACAAGGTAAGTGAGGCCCCAGTGGTCCAGTCCCGCTCATGCTTCCAACTCTGAGGGATGGATTTGACAGAAACGTGTAAACTCCATTCACTTCCAGAGGGGAGCAGTCCTGGTGCTACAAAGACCCTATTCGGAGAGTCCGCTGGCTGGAATAAAACTCGCTTCTGGTTTCTCTGCCCTGGGGTCCTGCAGCACATGAAACACATCAAAGCCCTCACAGCATAAAGACTGTCACCCATCCATTCTTTCTGCCAATACAAATTAGAAATAACTCCAAAACCCAGCTTTGCTCTTCTTTCTTCGTCCGGAGCCTACGCAGGTAACTGAGTTCAAGCTGCACTTACTGATGCGAAATGTGATAATTTCCACATGCCTTTCAGAACAAACACCCCCTCTTCCCACCCAGACTCTCTCCCAACTCTGTCATCTAAAGTCTGGACCCCGAGTCACGTGGTACCATTCACCCATCTCTATCACTTCACACTCACACATGCCCATGTCTCCAGAACACTGATAACACTGCTCACAGGACACACTTCCGAGTGTGGTTAGCTTATAGCGTCTAAACTTGCTTGTCATCTATGAGACCGGGGCTTCTGATACAGAACATACATTCGCTGACAATCTGTGAGGCTGTGTCCCCCGCCCCCCAGTGTAACTGATAAGCAACAAAATTGTGATTCTGAAGGCAAGGTATCCTCAGGGCTTCAAAGACTTTGCATGCATACTTTTTTTTTTTTTGCAAACATTTGTGAACCACTTGTCTGGGTCCCCAGCAGACAGTTTTCTAGTATTTTGCACACTCCTTCAGTACCAGGACCTGCCAGAAGAACCTTCCGTGGAGAAGTTGGGTGCCCACTACCCAGGAGATGATGTCACTAGGGGACGTAGTGAGGAAGAAGGGCCCCTCCCTGAAAAGTCACGTAGGTAGCTGGAGCCTCTGCCCCCTCTGGCTTTGTATCAGGCCTCTAGCACTTTGATTCCAACCCCAGTACTTTGCTTTAGTTTGTTCTTGGCTTTTGTTGTTGTTGTTTGTTTTCCCCTAAGTGACTTAAAAAGGAAAGAAAGAAAAAAGAAGGCGTGGTTGGTTGGGGAGGGGAAGGAAAGGAGAGATTCTGGTGAAAGAACAAACCCTCATCAGTGTGGCCTTGGACTTGAAGGTTTGGCGTTTTTTTCCTTCAGAAAGCAGGAATGCCTGCTGCTCTAATCTGACAGCAGAACGAGGGAGCCATCTCACGGGACTCCTGGCACCTTCCCACTATGCCAGCAGGGCAGCCCCAGCACAGCCCACAGGCCAGGCAGCCACTCCATGCAGTTTGAAATCTCCCTCTGTGGTGGATCGGGCAGATGGTTTATTTTCTAATTTTTAAATTGCATCAAAAGTGCAGAATGTAAAGTTAAAAAGCATGGCACACCGGTGACTTGGTGTGAGCATAAAGGCAAATCAGGTGATATACTTAAAATGCTTTTATTATATTTATCTGTGCGTGTTTGTGTCTGTGTGTGTATGTGTGTGTGTGTGTGTGTGTGTGTGCGCGCACACACACGCACAAGTGCCTGGGCACACATACCACAGCACACATACAGCGATTTAAAGATAATTAATGTGAATTGATCCTCTTCTTCCATCATGTGGGTTCAAACTCAGGTCATCAGTCCTGTCGCCACGCCCCTTACCTGCTAAGCTATCTTGCTGGCCCACAGTAATATACTTTTGTTACAAAACCATAACAACTACAAGTAGGGGAAAGGTGGCAGAAAACTGTTAAGAAAAGAAGTCACATGAAAGACAGTTCTGTGTACTAGTAGAATAAATAAAACAGGACAAATGGAAACAAAGCAGAAGGCGTGTATGGACTCTATAGTTGGCTGTTCTGTCCAGAAAGCCACTGGGCTTTCATTCAGTTATTCGACCAATCACAGGAAGTCTCTACAAACTGGACACTGCGTGCGTATATGTGTATGTGACGCTATGTATATGTGTGTGTAAGAATGCTTAACAAACTGACACGTGCGTATATGTGTATGTGACGCTATGATGTGTGTAGAATGCTTAACAAACTGGACACTGCGTGCGTATATGTGTATGTGACGCTATGTATATGTGTGTGTAAGTGCATAACAAACTGGACACTGCGTGCGTATATGTGTATGTGACACTATGTATATGTGTGTGTAAGAATGCTTAACAAACTGGACACTGCGTGCGTATATGTGTATGTGACACTATGTATATGTGTGTGTAAGTGCATAACAAACTGGACACTGCGTGTGTGTATGTGTATGTGAGAATGCATAACAAGACATTGATCGTTGGTATTTACTAGCTCTCATGATAAACAAATGTGGCTACCAGGCCTGGAGAGACGGCTCAGTGGTTAGTTAGGAGCACTGACTGCTCTTCAGGAGGACCCTGGTTCAATTCCCAGCACCCACATGGCAGCTCACAACTATCTAATTCCAGTTCCAGGAGGTCTGACGCTCACGACAAAACACCGATGCACAAAAAACTTTTAAAAAATAAAAATTAAAAAAAAAAATTTTTTTTAAAAAGTGACTACCAAAATGCAAAATGTCAGTTCAGATGGGTGAAGAGAAGAAAATGCCAAAAGACAAGAAGTCTGCCACTTTTAAATCTGTCACTGTAGTCATTGGAAATGTCTTGTGCCCTATATCACCTTTTGTGACAGGAGAATATTAGCATGACTGGGAGCTTTGTAACCTGAGAAAAGTCTAGAATGGTAAATTAACATTAACTCCCCAAAACACGCATCAAACTTGGGTCTTCTCCCCAAACTACCAGGTACTCGCTGTTCAGGGCAAAACGGGAAGAGAAGATGTGAGCCAGTGTGGCTTCAGTTCCCTATCGGTTCCTAACGCACAGAGCATGAACACCCCATCAAGAGTCAGGGGTCAGAGGTCATCCAGTGCAGCAGGCCTCACAACAGTCTTGGAGTTTTTCGTTAAATTAAAAAAAAAAAAAAAAAAAAAAAAAAAAAAAAACTAAGAAACTGGAACGACAGTCTTCCTTTCAGAGGTTTCGGAAACATAACTGACTAAGAAAACATTTTCCTAGCTTGTCCATTACTTAAAAAAAAACAAATATATTATCAAAAATATATATACATATTAAGAAACTGCTAAGACATTCCTTCCAACAATCAAGTTGTAGCAAATCTGTAGTAAGCAGACTTCATGCAACAGCTGGGCAAGTCAGTTTATTTTAAATAAGATTTGGGCCCTTGCTATTTATGATATACATTAAGAAAACTTTGATTCATCCATAGGAATGGGCATTTCTATTTTAGAGACAGTACAGACAATTTAAAAAAAAAAATCAAAAGATAAAATGTTCCAGTGTGGATTTAAGATCCACTTTCAGGCAGTGCAATCACGCCAGTGTAAAACTTCGTGATTCTTAAAGCCAGAACTTTAAAAGAGCCGGGAAGCGCGGCCCCACCAGAGGGAGTGCTCAAAGGGCAGAAAACCTGATCCTAATCAAAGAGCCAGAGGCCTATAAATAGAAACAGGTGTCTAAATCAAAGCCAGAGAGAGAGCCCAAATGAGAACCATCCCTAAGACATACAGGCTTGGGTCTGGGGACCGTTCAGGGAGCCGAGAAAGTAGCAATTGTTGGAAACGTGCATTAAAAGGAGGAAACATACCTCAAAGATCATATCCTCACCCTCTTGAGCAGGAAAATAATTCCTGCTGCGGGGCCAGGGGGCATCTGACTCAAAGACAAAAAAAGGAAAAAGCTAAAGAGAGGTATGCGAGCTGGAATAAAGAAGAAAAAGGCGGGGGGGGGGGGGGGGGACGGGACAAAGTCAACCCCTCTTTGCCTCTGCTGGCTTCTTCTAGAAATGAAGAGAAAAGTGGTTACCAGCTGTCAAGCTTTTAAGGTGGAACCCTTTGGAGCTGGTGGGATCACTCCTTGGCTGAGCTCTGGCTTGGGAAATCACTGTCATTATCATTATTGAGTGTTTAAGAACCCATAGGGAGGTAGGGCATTGCTCGGGGAACACCACAGACTATAACCTGCCCCTGTGCCCAGTTTTTGAGAGCTCCGTGTCTCACAGATTGGAACTGGTAATGGGTTGAGGCTCTCCAGTAGGAGTGCGTACTCAAGACCTGCTTCTGTCTCCTGTGTTGGCTGTGGCCTCCTGAATGTCTTTATGAGTGTTAATGGACTGAGTGGGGAGAACAGTAAGGAAGTATCACCAGCTGCAGCTAACACACAATCCCCTCTATGCTTTCCAGGGGTGGCTAGATCCGCCTCACCCTGCTTGAACTTAAAAAAAAAAGTCAAAGCACATATACAGGGACCATGAACCAAAAGGCTGCCATGTGCGCGTTCACGCGCGCGCACACACACAGCACTAATACATAAAAATGAAGCATTCCTAATAAATTGTAATGCAGTGTCGGCAAAAAAAATGTAACTTTTGGATTGGGCGAACTTGAGTTTGCCCTACTGCTCCACACATATCCAGCCAAGACCTCTCCAATCCTGTGGGAAAGCACTCGGAAGGGCTCATCTTTTGGACAGCTGCTGGAGAAGGAATTTTAAGAGTTCCCAAACCCGGGTTTTAGTCTAGGGCCTCTGTTTATGACAAGGGGTGAGGAGCTGTAACAGTATGGACTAACGGAAGGGTGGCGAGGGAAAGGGACAACCCAGAAACGCAGCACTTGTGGGCTTTAACGGGAGAACGAATCCTAGCACTGGGGAGGCAGAGGCAGGCGAATCTCTGCAAGTTCTAGGACAGGCTTCAAAGCTACACAGAGAAACCCTGTCTTGAAAAGCAAGCAAACAAACAAACATGACTTCTCTGGCCCCCAAGGTCTCGGAGCACAGCAGCTCTGCTTGTGCTCGGGAAGGGGTGGCCTCCTCTCCCCTCTGGGCTGCTCTCCCTGAAGCCCTACTATGTGTAGGTTTAGAGACCTGCTGCAATCCTCACCCCTCTCCCCACACTACTCCAGTTGGGGACACCTACCCCCTAAGAGCTCCGTCACTCAGGAATCACCTTAAGCGCGATGTCCTCAGAAAGGCCTTTGCTGGCCCCTGCCGTTCTCTTGCATTTGCCTGCTCATCACAACCACAGTATTTACTACAGATTTTAGTTTCATTAATTTGTTGTTGCTGCTGCTAATATCTATACCTGGTCACGAAAACACGGTACCCCAAGAAGGTAAGGACCGTGGCTGTTTTGTTCGGCGACTGTTAGCAAGCATCATCACAGACAAATAAAGACACTTGATACGTACTGTTTACCGAGTGGTGGCAAAAGCAGTTACCAGTTCTGGGAAGTTTCTGAAGTCCCAGGCATAGTCAAAATTGTCTACAACGCACAGATCAGGGTACCTCGTGCCCTACTTCCCAGTGTCCTCACGCACGCGCGTGCGCGCGCACACACACACACACACACAGACACACCACCCGACATGTAACTAAGTCTCAGCACACTTTAATGAAGCCATGCCATGGTAGTCATAACCGTTCCCACATCCCGTTCCTTACCCTTCTGCCCAGGATCTGGTTGATAGCTGCGCTCTCCTTTAGCGTGCACTCGGCTACCACGTTCGCCCTCATTTCCTTCATGTATAACATGAAAGCGTTCAGGGGCTTCTTAATGTGAGGTCTTTTTGGCTCTTGCTCCTTTCTCTGTTCATGCTGGGGCTTCCTGAAAGGTGGCGGTGGTTAGGGAAGAGACAGGAGAGAACATCTGTTCACATTGCCAAGTTCAATGTGAGGATGACCCTTCCCAGCTCTCTGCCAGCCCCTAGGACACCATCAACGTGCAAGGACAGCGTGTGGCTCCTCTGATGAAAACCCAAGTTGCAAACAACCAAATCACAGGGTTTCTTCGTTTACACAGTGACACTGAATAAGTTTCCTTCACTCAGAAAGCTCCAACTAGGGCCCCAGAGTTGAGGCCCTTGGTCACCTCTAACTACAGGTAAGCATTCCCTTTCTACTGCAATGGATGTTCACTTTGGGGGATGGGGATTGGGGATTAAAGGACTCTGTGAAAGCAAGCACTTTCCCCCAGGACCTCCTCCACCCCTGTTTTTTTTTTTGTGTGTGTGTGTGTGTGTGAGAACGTGCATACTCATGCTCAAGAGCCTATCAGAGGTCAACCTTGGGTGCTGATTCTCAGTTGACATTCCTTGGTTGGTTGTTTGCTTGCTTAGAAAGGGTCTTTCACCGGCCTGGGGACCACACTGGCCCCAGGGTTACTCTTGCTTCTGCCTCCCTGGTGCTGGGATTACAGGCATGTGCCACTACACCTGGCTTTTTTACATGGGCACTAAGGTTCAAACTCAAGTCCTCATTCATGCAACACAAACTCTTTGTAACTGACCTGGCTCCCTAGCCCCAATGGGATTTTGACTGTCTCATCAAACAAATGTATATTTCCTTTGAATATATTTTCAGAGTCTTTATGGGCTGCTGTACATAGCTTGTCATCCATAGACTAAAGAGGGAACGTTTATAACTCCTCCACGACAAGGCTCCAAAAGTTTGACCCAGTGCTGGTCCAATGGGAGATCTGACACCAGTGGCCACTTTTTCTGAATTCTGTGCTGCCTAGGATTCCAACCCAAGTAACTGCATTTCCAGAATGATGTGCACCTAGCCTGCCACTCTGTTTCCTTCATTAAAGGGAAGTCTGGGGTGGCAAGTGGTCTACAGCTCACAATCCCTCTACATCCAGGACACAGCTCCACCCTGGTGTGTGTGTCCATGAACTGTCAATCCTGTGGTCCTCTGCAGTCAAAAACCAATCAAGCCCCTGTTCTCAGAGCCTTCCAGGCTGAGCTACACGGACATTCACAACTGCAGAGGAGGCTCAGAAACACGAGGAGGCGGGGGTCTACTTACACGTGCATTAGGTCGCTGTCAGTGTGGGGGTGCTCCTGCTTGACCTGAGGCGTTACAATAGCTGGATGAGGGATGCCGGTTGTGTGGGGGCCGGGAGGACCAGGAATCATATGATGGGAAAACCTATACAGAGAGAGGAAGACAGTATGCACTGCCACTGTTACGGCCAAACCCAGGCAGAATTAGAACTCACTAATTGTCATTGGCTATGAGTGAAGATGTATGTATAGCCACCCAAGTATTAACTATAGACTGGAGTAACAACTGTTTTGTTTTTTCTTTCTGTATTCAGATGGAAACTATAATTATTCCCTGGGGTTTTTCAAACTGGGTATTCTTCCTCAGGAGGGCAGCAGGCACAAGATAAGGGGAAGCTGAATCCTTTTTTCTTGCAAACAACTTTCCAACAGAAATTTCAGTAAGAGAAATGACTGGAAACATGACACTTTATTAAGATTTAACCATTTAACATCACATTTCAAAATCGCACAGGAAGAGTATACTCATATGGCTGACTGTTGCATTAACCTCAGAAGGGAACAACCAAGAGACAGACAGGACGAGTCCTTAGCCCCTAATTTATAAGGTTTTCCGTAGCAATCGCCCAAAGAGACCTTCCACAGTGCGGTGAAGTTTGGGAGACAGGGCCTTAGGAAGAGCTGATTCTGGAGCTAAGGACAAGGGTTAAGTCACAAGGAGGGACAGGATTCTGCATACAGGCAGAAGCTTCACCTGCCAATGTCTTTCTCCTGGGCAAGAATATGTAGCCTTCAAAATGTTAACCTGTCTGCCACCAGCCATTGCAAAGGAAGTATTAGAAAAATAATACTCCAGATGTTTGCTGACATATCTCAGCAACACTGGGTAAATTTGGATATGCCTTAGATTTTTTTTTTTTCCCTTTCTGATCAGCTTTAGAGTAAAAGCTTAATTTCACAAGAAAAACCGTCTTTTGGTCTTTACCAAAGAGTGTACAACTGACCTCTCATTGGGAAACGAGAAAAGGGTATCTGCTAGGGGCCTAGTACTTCAGAAACAAACTTCTTATTTATTTTACTTTTCTAGAGACAGGGTTTCTCTGAGTGGCTTTGGAGCCTGTCCTGGCACTTGCTCTGTAGACCAGGCTGGCCTTGAACTCAAAGAGATCCGCCTGCCTCTGCCTCCCTAGTGCTGGGATTAAAGGAATGTGCCACAACTGCCCTGATCGAACTTCTTAATTATTAAGGAGACAATTTACATACTTGAGTAAGTAATGATGCTTTGCTAAATGTAAAGATACACGATGCTTGATGCTGGTTATGTCCCTGTGAGGGAACCTTTGTCTTTAGTTCTCAGTGTTAACAACTATAAAATAATAATAATAATAAAACAAAGACTAGCCATCTAGAGTTATACTTCACTGAATGGAATATATATATATATATATATATATATATATATATATGTATATTTGAAGCTGAAATTTACCACACAAACTGTAAACATCAAACCCACATTTAAAAAAAAAAAAAAAGACAGGTTCACAACCAGTTAATAGCTCACTAGCTCAGCATGGTGACACTAGCTTCCTCAAGAAAGCCACATGGGATACATAGATGACACAGCACAGGCTGTGTGTACATCACGGACGTCAAGCACAGGGCACAGAAGGCAACCCTTCCAGAAGCAGAAGCGCCACACAGAGCAGCCCCAGAGGGCTTCACTTGCAGAGACATTGTCCACACAGGGCCTGATTCACACACTAGGATGCACATCCTGCCACCACAGCTGGGCAGCTTGTGCGGACTGCCCTCTGTCCCCCTAAAAGCCAAGGGTCAATTGAGGAAGGATCTGAGCTACGGGGTGTTTTCAAGTACTGCCCGCATTAATCTGACTTAGGTCTCCGCAAAGGGAGCCATTGTGGAACTTTGATCCAACTCCTTCCATCGCCCTGTCCCAGTCTACCTGCCCCCAGCATGATTGAAATCAGACAAGTTCTTCTAAGGACTACTTTGGGGGATAGTTGTCATCCCACAGGCAGGTGGCAGTGGATCCTGGAGTTGCGATGTTTCCTAGTGTGGCAGGTGCCTTGGAGTCTCTGTGACACCTAGTGTGGGAGCCAGGCACACTGCGGGCACGCACGCACGCACGCACGCACGCACGCAGGCGCTAGGTTACGAGCTCCCAGCCAGCCAGCCCAGGGGCAAGCGGGGCAGGGTGCACACAGTGCGAGCAGAGGAGCAGCCTGGCCGTTCCACCTCCACCTACCTGGACATGGAAGTGTCGCCTGACAGTGAGGATGGGTAGGGTTGCCTGAATCCACCCGTGATGGGATATACAGGCTGACCTTGCCTGAGGTCACAGAAGAGAGGAACCCATCAATGACACAACACGAGTTACCGACTAGCAGTCAGAGTTTGGTGGCAAGACAGGAGGGGCGTCGGAAGGCGGCAGGCCCCCAACACTTTACATGTGACCCTTTTCCTTCCTCGCCCTCCCACGTTTCACCCATCAAAGCACGGGGTGCCTTGAAGAAAACCCTCCCTCCCTCAGCTCTGAGCACAAGCTAGCCCTTCAATGGTTCTTTTATCCCTTTCCCTCACCCAGCACCTTTAATGCAAAGTAGGACTTAAAGATGCTTACTGAATATATTGCAGCCCACAGAATAGTAAACTGTGCCTTCAGAGAAGCAGCTTAACCAACTCTTTATCCAAACCTTTGAGAGTTTAGAACTAGAAAGGCACAACTCTCCTATTTACATAAAAAGACACATTTCAGAGAGACCCCCCCTCCCCAATCATATACCCCCACTAGGATGAAGAAATCAAAGCCCGAGTCACTGCAGTTACTTTCCCCTCCCTGGGAAGTCCCTCCTCCCCTCTCTTCTTTCAAGTCCCCCTTGTTCTTAAAGGGGGAGGGAGTTGGATGCTCTGGCCTGGCTGGAGAAAATGTCAGAATGTCTGGGTGTGCAATTGGGTTGATGGCATGGGCGCTGTGGGGACAGCAGGCTGAGAGGACAGGAGAGGGTTCTGTTCAGCTGCAGCACCATTTCAAGAGAACAATTGAGGAGGGAAGGAGAGAGAGGCACTGACTGAGCTGGTGGAGAGACCTGTGTGATAACAGCCACACTCTGAAAAAATTATTCTTCTCATAATTGGAAAAAGAAAAAGGAAGGAAGGAAGGACGGACGGACGAGCAGCAGCCTTTGGGACGTTTCTGGAAATAGCCACTGCACAGGGAAACTTTAGCATTTGAAGTCTGAAGGAGTACCAGGCTCCTAAGTCTTCCTTGCTTCCCTGAGTGAGTGTGGGTGCTTTCTTATTAGCGGTCAAAGGATGCTAGTGTTTGGTCAATTTCTCTTTAGCTCTGTAACATTTGCCTCATTTGCAAAAGTAGACATACCATGAGTCTAAGTCCTTGGTTCAAAACCTTGAGTCGTTAAAGAGAAATGGGAAGAGAAAAGCCACTGAGCCTCAAGTTCCATATGGCACAGCAAATGCCCAAAGGCGCAAACTGAATCCATAAAACTACAAGCCTCAAAGAAAAAATGCTAGGCAGTCATTAGTGGACGGGTTCAATTCATTTCAAAGCCCCTCTGTTTTAGCTTTGGTTTTGTCTCCTGAACCTTTCAAATTGAAATGAAATGAAGATAGCACCTTGCTCGTTAGTGTGAAATCTCCTCCATTCCACAAGGGCAACCGCGCACAGAGCTCACGCCCATGAATGGGAAGTGGAAGGACACATATTCAAATACCCAACCCAAGGTTGCAGGAATGCTCTTACCAGCCGAGGGGAGGGGTGATCTGCCCAACAGCACCCGGAGACAGGGGGTAGAACGTGGGGATTTCTGGAGCTGGAGGGTGTCTGGACATGCCTGTTAAAAGGAACGGAAAGGTATGGTGTTTACAATCACGGGACAATCGTGCGGAAGGGTGAGGGAAAAGCAGACTAAGGCTTCATGCCATTTAGTGATTCTGGTATAGAAACTGCCCATCAGATCCAGTGGATGGAAGTGAGTCTTTCTTCAGATTCCAACACCTGGAGAAACAGGGTCTTCAGGCAGACTGCTGTAGCGGAAGAAATCCATGCTGGAATGAAGAGACTGCCAAGGAGAGAGCCATCTGGGCCATCTTTTGATGATCTAGTCTGCCCTGGTTCCCCTTGAAGAAAATGGCAGACTGGTGTTTTTGTGTGGACAGCCCTCCCTAAGAAGGTGGCCTGCCGTGGGGCTCAGAGATTAGGTAAATTGCCATTCTCACTGGCTCCCTTATAGACACACAGATTTGGGAAATGGGAGCCCTCAGCGGAACAGAGATTAATTAGGACTCCTCCGCAGCCTCGTAGTGGGCACACTTGATATGATTCATCTGTTCTGTGCTGCCATTTCAGCTGCCTGTAAGCTCCTCGTCAGCCCGCGTCCTCTGGGTCCAAGGTCACACTGTTCTGGATTAGTTGTATTCTCCAGCAAAGGGGAATGCCAACAAACTGTGTGTCATGCTTGAGCTCCCCTGGGAGCTGAGTGTCCTGTAACTGTGAAACCCACCTACCTAATCCTAGTCCTCGATGACGCCCCTGTTTAGACCTTACCTTAGGTAGAGGGGGAGACAAAGCTGGCAAGACAAATACACAAAACGGAAATTACGAAATTTAATATTCCGGGAGAGGCGTTTCTGAAAAGCTCTAGGTAACTAACTACACTTAGACGTCCACAGTTTCAGAAGATCATTTCTGCGTAGGGCGTAAGTACTTACCAAGACTCACCAGCAATGACTGCAAATGTGTTGGTTAATATGTGGAAACAGATGAGTGTAGGAGAGGGTGGGGCTCTTTAAATAGTATGGGATTTTCCTACATAACATGCCCATGGACTGCATGTGGAGCTTAAGATAACCAAAGGACTTGAGCACGAGAGAATGACTTACATGCTACCTTCAATGTTGATTGATATTGCTTGTGTATCTGTGACAGACTACCTCTCAGTGCCTTCCCAAACAGCGGAGAAGAGGCAGGTCTACATGTCGAACTCAGTAAGGCTCTCACCTCAGGTCAATGTACATTCTACTGTTTTCAGAATCACTCCAAATCTCCTTTAATCCCCCCCCCCAATTTTTCTGGACATACTAATATCCTTTGACCCCAGCCCAGTGGCTCCCCAAATTTGTTCCCTGGCATGTTTTTCTTCTTTCTCGGAAAGGGCAGGGGTGGTCCCAAGTTCATGCCTCAGGACCTTTGGCAAATTTTTCAACTTGTCGCTTGCTCCCTTATCCTAAGATTTCCAAATCCTTAAATCTCAGGGTCTTCCTTCCGGGAGGTTCAAATTAAAAACTACAGCCCCCCGCAAAGACAGCCAGACCCACCTAGAATATTAGAAATGTGGGTTTTACTACTTATAAATGAGAATGGTTTCCAAGGACAGCTTCTGTATATTTCTGCCTTGGGCTACCGTATGGACGTAGTGCTGTCTTCCCCTCTGCCGCCACCACCGCCCCAGAGGAAGCTGGCGAGCCCCTGGAAACAGTGGCATCAGTGACTCTGGTTCTCTAGCTACATGACACACACTGAAGAGAGCAGAAGAATGAAGCAACAGAATGGTTAGTTCAGCTTTGGAGGGCAAAGTGTGAAGATGGCATCGTACAAACTCAAGTTTATGGAAACCATAGTTTACATATCCCCTGAGGCACTTGACACGGAAGGACATGAAGCCCAGGACAAGCATGCAATTAAAACCAGGATATCCACGTTAAAACAACTAGAGAGTGTGTACGGGATACACTATAGTAATCACAAACTTCACAAAGGAAAACAAAGACGAGAGAAAGCAGAGAACTAGCTGCTCGCACCACGGGTCCCTTCTCTAAACAAGCCAGGAGGAGTGATCAAATAAACTAGGGTCATGCAAAGCAAGGGAGGAGAGAGGCAGACCGGCAAGCAATGGGGGGAATTCATTAATCAGTGGGTTATATAAACGGCTGATCAAAACTGACTGGTCCTAGAATTTTTCAGAAAGAAACCACTCAAAAGTAATGTTTTGGTTTTTCTATTTTGTTTTGGGTTTTGGTTTTTTCAAGGCAGGGCTTCTCCGTCTTGACAGCTCTAGCTGTCCTGGGAAAAGCTTTGTAGAACCAGATGGCTTCGAACTCATAGCAATCCAGATCCACCTGCCTCTGCCTCCCAAGTGCTGGCATTAAGGACGTGCACCGCCACCGCCACCGCCACCTGGCTCAAATGTGGTGTCATTTTAAAACAGTGACTGTCTCAAAATGCTCAAGCAGGGCCCAGGACACAGAAAACATTTCATCATGAAATTAAACAAAACTAAAATACATTTGGTGATTTTTTTTTTTAATAGCCAAGACTTCTGAGTCTCCAGACATTTTTCACTCATATCAACACAGTCTGCAGACGTGAATTCCAGCTCAGACCTGCTCAAGATTGTGAGCCACACAAGAGAGACAGTGTCCATGAGGGCTGGCTGGAGACAGCCCAAAGGTACTCAGACACACAACAAAGAACATTATACCGACTTTATGTCTTTGTTTTGCTTATCTGCAGCACTAACAACAAATAGAAAAGAAAAACAAGGATCTCACAGCTTAGGCAAATGTGCTGCCATCAAGCTACATGCCCAGTTTCCAGGCCGACATTCTCACCTTGTCTACACAAGGACACCTGAGCTCCACTCGGGTCCAAGGCCAACAGCCAGTGTTCCGCTAAGGTTCTATTTAAACCGCTAAGGGCCTGAGATCTCTAGTGACTGGCCGCTAAGTGGTAATCAATAGCGAAAGAGAACAGGCTCAGGAGGCCACTCTCCTCACACCTTCCATGGAGGGTGCCCCCTGCAGGTCAGAGGGCAAAACGCAAGTAGTGGCATGCTTTGGCCTCTGCATTCTGGGCTTCCTTGTGTTTTATAGGGCCTTCTGTTTTGGGATTTCCAAAGCCCTGCTGAGTCCCAAGGTTGCATGTGTAGGGCAAGACAGACAGACAGACGGACGGACGGACGGACGGACGGACAGACAGACAGACAGACAGACAGATGGACAGACAGACAGGCTTGCTGAGAGGGTGGGTGGCAGGATGAGAGAATCATGAACTCTTTGCCCAGACCCTCCATACACCACAGGCAAAAAACCAAGCATTTCAATTTTTATTCGGACCCATAAAAATGAGTTTTTCTGCAAATGAAGGGCAAGCGGAGCTTCATCATTAATGCAGGGAACCGAGACTGAAATTGTGCTGTTTTGAGTCTAAACAGAGGTGGTTTCGTTCTTTATTTATAATACCTAAGCTGGCGATGCGACATAAGAGAGGACAGTATAATGGGAATAAAGTGGAGTAAAGAAATCTCCAGAGGCTGAAAAGAATAACCCTTGAAGCAAAACATTCCCATGTTTACATTGTATGATATATAGCAAATATATATTGTAATATATAAATAGCTATTAACGGTGGCTGGAGGTGGAGCTCAGGGTTGGGAGTGAAGGCCCCAAGTGCGATCCCCACATTTTATGTAATTAATTAAATAAGAAATTGAAAGCCACTGACATCTTACATGGCAGTCACCTCCCCCACCCCAAGCCATGGGTTCTTTTTCCCGTAGTTTTTGTTCTCTATGGTTAGCTGAGGTCTAAAATAGTAAATAGGAAAGCCCAGGAACTAGTGATTTTATACATTTTAAACTGAGTGCATGATGAGAGTTTTGGCTTCTTGTTCCCTGCCTAGGATATGTGCGCCATCCCTAGACCCATGTCCACACTGTATTCCCCATTATTCATGTAGTAGCTGTCTGAGTGATCATAGCAAGGGGTCTACTATCCTAGCATTACAGTGCCTGTGGTCAAATAAGCCCGGTGTCGTTTGAAACTGACCCCGAGGGTACAAGCCATCAATCTATACACTTTTCAGTGGCAAAGGACTGTTCTATATTTAATATGGAAGGGAAAGAAATCATACTTGGGTTTCTAAGATTTGGAATAAAGCCACTTTTCCTACCTGTGAAGAAGGAAAGAGAAATCTTTGCTAGCTGGGATGTTCCTTCTCGAACCATATGAGGCATAGTTTGTGAGGAAGGTTAGTGATAGAGAACCCTGATTAAGTTTGGGGCTCACATCTATTCAGTGGGCAGGAGGAGTGGGGGCTTGAAAAACATCCCCTATAAAACTCAGTGGACGAGTGACAGAGGATGGAGCTTTTAGTCTGTTTGTACAGCCTACTGGTTTGTATTGCAGATCAAAGACTTTTTCAGATCCGTCACGTGGAACATGATGGTATTCCACTTTGCTTCTGTTTCGTGTTTTGGTTTTGCTCTTGGTCGTTTTGTGTTTGTGAAAAATTAAAGCAACAATGGCTGTTATGGACTTCTGAAGGACCACCAGCTAACTGTGCACACATGCATTCTTGACTCGCACGGGGCAATGACACCTGCATACCTGGAACAGCACCAGCGCTCGGCTCATGAGGCACGGTTGCTGGATTGGCAACAGAGGCCTGGGCAGGCCAGAGGTGCTTACCTTGCTTGGAGCTGACATCGGATGGGATGTGTGACGGGTGTGATCCTGGAGAAAAGTGCTCGTCGCTGTAAGTGATGAGGGGGGTGAGGGGGTGGACCGCATGGGATGGCTGCACCACCGGCACTTTATTTGACTGCAAAGTAACCACACAAGGCCAACCGTTAATATGGCCTCCTGCCTCTCGTCTCCTGTCCCCGAGAAAAGAAAGTCACACAGGGGCAGTAGGCAGTCATCATTAAGGGGACACAAGAGCCGTGTATCCCAGTTGCCAGCATTTCTATGACAAATACTCAAGTACAAGAACGTCCCACAAAGAAGCCGATGGTGACTTCACCAGTGGCCTGCAGAGGTTTATCTGGCCACTATGCCTCTCGTGACCCAAACCTCTTCCCCCTCATTCCCTCCTTGCTTTCTGCTTGATAAAGAGCTGCGAGGCAAAAGTTGTGATCTATAAGCTTTCCACCCACTACTTATGTCTAGCTGCAGAAGTCCATTCAATAAAAAGCTGCCCTTTGAACAAATCAGCCATCAAACATTGCCAACTGAAACAACTTGGTAGGCACAGATTGATAATGTCCAAGTGCATCAAGCCTCGGCACACCTTTCAGAAGGATGCCCAGACAACCTCTGCACATCTTGTAGCTTTGTCAGATGTGATCATTTGCTTTTGCTGCTGCTCGGCTGTCTCCTGCTCCGCTGGGTTCCACAACAATTCCCAACCTTGTATTTGCTTTCGCAACACAAAAATCGCAGTTTGAAAGAACACTTCCAGTTGCTGACACTGAGCATTTGAACATTCTTCGGCAGGGGACTACAGGTCAGGCCTGTAACCCCAGCACTCAAGAGGTTGAGGTGGAAGGAATGAGTGTTGGAGGCTAGCCTGCACTAAAGGAAAGACCTCATTTTAAAAACAACAAGGGCTGGGGAGATGGCGTAGTGGATGAAGTCGCTTGCTGAGTCTGGTTCACCATAAAAGCCTCGGTGCGCTGGAGCACGCTCTGCCACCCTGACACTGGGGGAAAGGACACAGTCAGATTGTAGGGCTTGCTAGCCAGCCAGCCAAGCCAAGAGGTTGAGTGCCATGTCTCAAAGATGAGGTTGGGAGTGGCAGAAGACCCCTGACATTGACCCAGTGTGTGTCTGTGGAGGCGTGTGCGTGTGCGTGAGTGTGTGTGAGTGAGCGTGTGTGTGAGTGTTGCGTGTGAGTGCGTGTGTGAGTGTGTGTATGTGCGTGTGAGTGTGTATGAGTGCATGTGTGTGAGTGTATGAGTGTGAGAGTGTGTACGTGTGTGAGCGCGTGAGTGCATGTGTGAGTGCGTGTGTGAGTGTGTGCGTGTGTGAGTGTGTACGTGTGCGAGTGAGTGTGTATGTGTGTGTGAGTGTGTGTGAGAGTGTGTGAATGTGTGAGAGTGTGTGTGTGAGTGCATGTGTGTGAGAGTGTGTGTGAGTGTGTGTGAGTGTGTTTGTGTGTGTGTGTGCTACAAGGAAACTTTGTTCTTTTATACTGGGGATCCACTATTGGCACATGTTGGCCAATATCTATTTAAATTCTGAGACATGGCTTCAGAAAGTTACCCTGGCTGGGCTTGAACTCATGGCAATCCTCCTGTCTCAGGCTCCTGGGTAGCTTACATCACTCTGTCCAACTTACAAACAAATTTTATTGAATTTGCAAGCCCCAGACTATATAAGTGCATTTTCAAAAAAGGATCCAGATTTGCATGGATAATCTATGATCATTTTGATTGTGGCAAAGTCAAAAGTCATCCTTCCACCCAAGCCAGGTGTGGTAGTGCATGTCTTTTGTCCCAGCCTTTGGGAGGCAGAGGCAGGTGGGTGTCTTGTGAGTTCAAGCCAGTCTGGTCTACATGGCCAGCCAGGGTATATAGTAAGATGCATCTCAAACAAACAAACAAACAAACAAATAAAAGGTTTTCTGTGTTCTAGAAAGTGCTTACTAAATAAATCAGTAAGAGTAATGATTTAAAACAGGCTCAACATTAGGACAACCATTTTAAAAGAAACAATGATTTTAAAAGAAACAAGCTAGTGACAATATAATGTATTTGCGTGTGTGTGTGTGTGTGTGTGTGTGTGTGTGTCTGTGTGTGTACAGAGAGGAAGAAGGAAGGACAGACAGAAGATGAAGGGGATGGAGGGGCAGACTAGATTCCCTTGCATCAGGCTCCCGAGTGCCACCATGTCCCATCCCTAATATACTGTCGATTTGAAAACAATGTAAGTGGACATTAACCTTCATAAAATAATTCATATGTTAATTAACTGGACTTGGCCATTTCACTTCAAACCATGTTACATGTAGTAAGTGCATACAATTTTATTCACAAATAACAATGAAAAAAGAAAGAAACCTCCCCATGCCTCAAAGGAAGGAAATGCAACACACACACACACACACACACACACACACACACACGGTGGCTCTGATTTTCCACCATCTACTACTTAAAGCATCCTCAGAAGGATGAACATTTACAAACTGTGCAGTGATGAGCAACTCAGATTTCAGAGGAGCAGAGTACAGCGAGCTCACCAGTTCGGGCTTGCCTTCACTGTAATTACTTTGAATTAGTGACATTTTACTGTGCTGTGCCAGGCTAAGATGAATGTGGAATGAGTTTCTCAAGAAGTAAATAATCATATTAAAAAGAAATCGAGGAAGTGGGCTGACTGGTGTCCCGACGTGAACTGTTCAAATGTTTGGCCATGTCTCGACGGCTAGCGGACTCCACAACACATCATGTGGGCTGCACCTGCGGTACACGCTCACTTTGGATTTGATGCTCTTTACCAAGTAAGCACCAGAAGTGTCTGATTCAACGTGAAGGTCACCTTCAGGAAAATGAGGAACAGTCATCCTGGTGACGCTTCACGCTCTTTCCCCCGTCATTACAACCAACCACCCAAAAGAAACCCATGTGCCAAGAGCAGTAAAGGCAATAAATAGGTCACACTTTCTTGGGACAATGATGGGATTTCTACAGTGCTTACTGTAACAACCCTTAAAAAATATCTCTGTAGATTGTTGGGTAATTATGCTTCTGCTTGATAATTACCAGGCCCTCTCTAATGGTAACCTTTGCATGGCTCATCTAGCCCTCGGCATTTATTAAACAGAGCGCCATTATCAAAGCCACACAATTTTCCTCTACATATATTAACACACACATCCATGCATATAAATGTGCAAAAGGCTTAAAAATACTTGAATGCTTTTCAAGTGTTAATGATGTCATTTACTAAATATGTAAGAGGGGCTTCTGAAATGCAGGGGAATCAGAACGCTAGGGAAGTGAGCCAGGTAGGGACAAAAATTATACATTATTGTTTAAAGCAGAATAACAAAAAACAAACAAACAAAAACAAAAACAAACAAAAAAAACCCTCTTGCTTCCCGAATTTGAAAACGGATACATTTTGACCCTAGTTTAAAATAACTACTCTGGCGCTGACTCTTATATCCAAAGTCTCAAAAGTGTAATTGCCAAGTAACCCACACAGATATCGTCTTAGGGTTGTTATCGACAGCTCTGCAGAGATCTTCTGGAAGGATCTCTCTATTTTGCATGTCTTTCTTGTCTCCAGAGCACCACCCTTAGGAACTTGCATTGGCAGGCAGCCGTCCTTAATGTCTGACCTGTCCCTCCAGCCATACGGCTCAGACTCTGGTGCCATGAATTTTTGCTAAATTATGCTATCCTTGCTCTCCTCTTAATTTTACGGTTTTCAACACAGATTTGCTTTCCTGTGGGAAGGAGATAAGAGGCTAAGGATTTTAATTTGAGCTCTGGCCTTGTCTTATATTTTGCAAGATGGATGGCGCAAGCAGTCCTAGTAGGTGTGTTAAAGGCATCGTGGATTATGTCCATTTTTTGTGGTCGAAAATAAAAGTCACGAAATCTCAACAATATGTGTGAGCAGAATTCTAAGGTCTCCTGAAGCCCATTTCCACAATGTGTCTTAAATGAAGCAACGTGGACTCAAGCTACACTGACGATGCCTGCCCTGCCCGCCTCAGTGCCCCTGTGGCCTGAATTTGTAACACAGTGAACAGCCACAGTTGGCCTCAGTCCTCAGTTTATGACGCGATGAACACAAACCATGTCAGAACTGCCACTGTGGTTAAATCCTAAGCCAGAAAACAAATACAACAATTCTAGATTCTGCCCTTCTCATCTCCAAGTGGCAGGGTGTATTTTCTGGGAAAAATTATGAAAACACTACCTAAGTCTATCTCACAGCAACATTACGAGCTGTGACACATGTGTGTGGGTGCAGGTGTGTCCACTTATTAAGTGTCTGAAGAGTTCCCAAGCACCATTATAGCACTGATAACACAGATGTGGCCTCTACTATCACACAACTTATCATCTAGGGGTTTGGAGGCAGGGATAGCCAGCATTGTGGAGAGCGTGTCCTGGAGATGGACACCACATTCAAAACGCAAAAATGACCTAGATCTGAAACGCAAGTGTCAAGTGGTATGGGTTGGAAAATGGGGGAGGCATCATGGGTCTAGTCCTGAGCCTTTGCCTCATGGTAAAGTTGCAAGAAACCGAGAGAACAATTACATTCCTGGTCTCTTAAAAGGCAGGGAATAGAAGCAGAGGTCATCGAGGAGAAGGCTGTGAAGCCAGGACCATGGGCAGCACTGGTACAGCCCAGCCCACCACCCGGCTCCGGGCCTGGGGGCTGCCCCATACACAGACTCCAAGCTGCAGGGAAATCAGAGGACCTTTATGCGCTCTCTCTTTTTTGAGCCCTGTGCACACAGTATTTTACTCCATGCAACTCAGCTTTCTCTAGTCTGGAGAGAGAGAGAGAGAGAGAGAGAGAGAGAGAGGGAGGACAACGGTGGCATTTGTGTCTTCTTCATCCCTAGGCACAGTTAGGTAAATCTTACTTTCCAGTATAGAATCAGCAGATATTCCCAATATGTGTTCCTAATTTCATTACCCCTGATGACTGGGGTGCATAACCACTCCATCTTTCTCTGACGCTCTGGAAGCGCCTCGACACCCCAATCTATTGCTTGGGGTCACCCCGATCTATTGCTTGGGGATGTTTAGTAACCTCCTTAAGTCCCCAAGGCAGGAAGTGGCAGAGCGAGAC